TATTTTTTTGTTTCATGTTGAATCAAGCTATTCATATAACTGCACTCTCTCTCCCCTGTGTTTAAGAAGCCTCAGAATTTCTCAGTATGTAATTTAAATCCATCCAGAATTCTTTCTTCCATTTTTATTTTCATCCCCGGGGTTTATTAAGTTGACCATTTCCAAAAACACTCCAGATTTCTCTCCTCACATGCAGCCTTTTCCTTTTATTTCCCTGGGTTTCTGCAGTTATGTAGAAATCTCCTTCTTGTTTAAACTCTTAGAACAGCAGACATGTTTTAGAAGAATCCCCTCACTGTTGGATACCGCATTTTTATTTTCCCCTCCACTTCAGACACTCGTGTGTGCTCCAATGAGCTTTTAATAAGGACAAGAGACATTGCTGCCATGGTAACCAACAATAATCAACATCCTAAAAATCTACTCAAGATGTCATGCAAACTAATGGGAGCAGGACTAAAGTAAATTACAGTGTTTCCTTGAATACTGATAATTGGACCCCATTCAAAAATATGATATGTAGTTTTAAATTGTTTATCACTATGGCAACAGTTCTTACTTTTCATCATACTGAAACTCAAACATCAAATCTCTCTGCTTATGCTGCTTCCTTACATTTGCATCTATCTAGACATGTTCCTCATTATATAGTTGAATTGTTTTCACCGTAGTAATTTCCTGTGCAAGCTGCACCAGAGCAGCATAATGAACACTGGAAAATAATGTTTATTTTTTTATTTATTAGGCATTATTTTTAATTCTACACCATGAAATACTAATTTAAAGGTACTAAAGGCCATGTTTAAATGTCAATAACAACACAAATCATGGGTAATGTGCTGTTTTCAGACTCTGTTTTTATTTTTAAGGTCCGTTCAGACCAGGAGTGTCAAGGCGTCCAGTTTACATGTAAAGTCAATGTGGACATGTGTCTAGGGCATCCTATGTTTTTGTGGTGCGTCTTCAGGTGTCAGCACCGCATGTCTTGAGTGTTCAGGCATCAGAGTTCTGGACATGTATCCAGGGCATCGGCATCAGAAGCAGGAAAATGCTAAACTTTTGGCGTCAGACGCGTCATGTCAACCAATCAGGGATGACTATCCAGTGATGTAGCGATGTTATTATCGGAAAGAAGGTGAAGAAAGAGAAAGACCCGAGAACTGGGGCATGGAGCCACAAACATTAGCGGAGTATGATGGGATTATGTAATAAATACACTAAAGTCACTCTCTCAGCCTAGTCTGCCATTGTTCAGGGAAAGACAGGGCAATGGACACGCATCGGGGGCATCTAAACTCAAATGTAAAGGCGTCCAACTAAAGGCGTCCAGCACGTTTTTTGATGCTCTGGGCTGAACGAACCTTTATATTTTTTGACAAGATGGCCACGGCATTTGCCATGGCAACACAACAAAATTTATTTATTTATTTATTTGGTTTATTTAGCAGGGACAGTTTACATTAATCAACATTTCTGTAAAAGTACCAGAATTTGCCAGAGAGACTATTTTTCATTTGTAGTCCTTAGACAGATGTTAAACATGGTCACCCTAAAATCACAACAAGAATTATACAAAAGTGCATTTGTACTTAACAATTCATTTAAAAAACAATGAAAATACTAACAACCATAACCACAATGTACACAATGAGAAATAACACAATAACCCACACTAGAGCACGGAGCAGGAGACACACACTGGGGTGGGGAGGGCGGCACACTAATGATCGCAGGTTTGATGAGTTATTAGTGAGTTTTTAACATGCTAGAGAGATAACAATCTCTCCAGGCCTTTGTATGACTCATTGGTCTGCTCCATTGTATTAGCATGAGTAGATCTCTATAGTTGTGGACACAGACTCCGCAGAGACACTGATAAAGAAAGTCAGTTCTGTTTTAGCATTATCACATTAATTATGCACATGTATTTACCGAGCGTTAAACTTCATTTCAGCCCATTACTTTGCAAATTGCAGTAATTGCCTTGCCTCTGTGAATTTCAAGCTAAAACAACATCTGTCTCTTTGGCCCACACTGCGGATTGAGACACTTTTGCATTCTATAAAGCGAGATAAAAGATGCATTGTGTAGCTTTTTGTCCGTGGAGGATGTTATTGCTTTGACTGGAATGTTTCACAGCATGGCATTAAATCTTTCCATCTTCATAGAGATCAATCCAAATCAGGTCAGATCTGTGGAGAGGCGACCCCGCTCACAGTCATAATGCCTGTTCTTCTTGGTATTTCTGAGCTATAAAACCAGCTGTAATTGAATAAATGTAGAGCTGTTTAATGTCATACTGTGGAACATTCCAAGGAGAACAATGACACATCTATAGAAACAAGCAGGTGACCCCCAACCAAAATGTTACATACTGCACCTTTAAAAGTGCTGAACTTTATTTTCACACTCTTAAAAATGGTTAAATGGTTTGCATTGGTCCAAAGTTATTCCACATTTACTGTATGCATTTCAAGCATCCTAGTTATTCACCACGATGAGTTTATAAACACTTTTCACAACTTTCAGAAACCACTGTGGGGTTTTGCCGTGACGGTAAAGCTAAAAACAACTAGCATGCTAACAAAGCACACACCTGGGACGACAGTAGCTCAGCTGGTTTGTCCACTGACCTGAAGCTTGGTGGTTCAAATCCCACTCTCGTCATAAACATTGTTGGTAGAGTGGGCAGTGGTCAGATCCCTGGACCCACAGGTTGGTGGTGCTAATCCAGCTGTTCTTGGGCAAAACATTTAACCCACCTTACTTCCAGTGTCTGCGCTCACTGGTGTATGAATGTGTGTGTGTGAATGGGTGAGTGGATCCTTCACGTAAAGCTCTTTGAGTGCTCTGAAGGTGGAAAAGTGCTATATAAAAATGTGACCATTCATCATTTTTTTATAATTTATCTCATTAAACAATAAAACAGATTATAATTAGACATTACACAAAGTAGACAGCACACAGCAGACATATCTTCACCCCAAGAGCCGCTTATAAACTATATTTGTATCTTCAGTACAATGTTCTTTTAGGTTCAGTGTTTTTGTTTTTTAATTGAAATGTGTTTGCTAGACAACCTGCCAACTTGAACCTAAGTTAATCTTAATTATGAAAATCAAATCAGTTTTGTACTTCAGGTATAATTTGTTTTAGTGTTTTCATTCCTTTCTATCTTAAATTGCTATCTTGTTTTTGCGATTAAACAGCAAATTAACTTTATTCTAACTATCTCTTGCCTTTCATTTGTTGTAGAAAACCACATTGTGAAAAGCTCGAAATGCAGTCAAACTGATTTAAACATCTGAACTATGAACACATGTTGGTTCTTAGGGGTCAGCCCTATGTTCCCTCAGCCCTATGTTCCCTCAGCCCTATGTTCCCTCAGCCCTATGTTCCCTCAGCCCTATGTTCCTCAGCCCTATGTTCCCTCAGCCCTATGTTCCCTTATTTCTTAGATTGTTGTTATTTCTAAGATTTTTTTTTTTTTTTTTTTTCAAAATTTTACAAGTCAAGTCATTTTTATTTTATACATCTGTAGTCAAGTACTGCTGTATTATAGGATTGGTGTAATTAATGACCAAATTGGTAGAAATGAGGATTAAATATGATGCAAATTATGATAAAGGAAATGTGGGAATAGAACTGAGGGAACATTGGCACGCTCCCGGTTCTTACATTTGCTGTAAAATTATAATTCTGTTATTTTGAACATTTTCTTTATTTTGATTTCATAATTTTTGAATAATTTAAATTGAACAGGAATTAATTTGGTTGTAACTCAGCGGAAGAGGTACAGGTTAAGTTGGTTGATCAAGTGAATATTTTTTATGATACCAAAATTACCACTGCACCACTCGATTACCTCAATACAAAAACATAAGTCTGTCTCAATATCCACTTATGTACCCCTTCTGTAGTATTTTCATCAAAACTACAGTGACCAGACGTCCCTATTTACCCAGGACAGTCCCAGTTTTGAGCCCTGTGTCCCCTGTCCCAGCAGATTTATACAAAATCATTAATTTGTCCCAGTTTTAAACAAGAAATGTCCCAGGTGTCACTATTTTTGACCAATTTGATTTAAACCTGGACTAAAGTAAGATTAAACCAGGACTGAAACAGGACTATCACAATTTTTGATTAATCTGATCCCAGTAAGGAGGAGCATAAATTGTCTTTTGTTTAGCCAAAATACCTAAAACTGTGTCTGCAAATGATCATAAAGCTACAGAAGCTCCTCAGAATATGACCACTGTTGGGCAAGTTACTTTAAAACTGTAATGCTTTATTTATTATTTATTACTGTCATTTCAAAGTAATTAGTTACATTATAATATTACTGTATTTAAAATGTAAGACATTACATTATTATTGCAGTACTTTTAAGTTACTCTCACCAAATCTTGTAATAATTTTAGACTAGAACTTCGAATCTAGGACTGCCCCTGAGAGAACCCCCGAGTGTGATCGGGTGTCAGCTACGTTTAGCTCCGTGGAGCGTGAAGTTCTACGCTGGTCCTTTCACTCGCGATCATGGTTTTTGCGGGCGCACCTCTGGCGTTTCACCGCTGCTGATATCTCGGTGATTTTAGCGAATTTGTATGAAGAAAAACGAAAAACCCACCGCTTGAATCCAGGTTAAAAAAGCATTGTAATGCACATTACTTACTGACATTTGTACCCAGTAATATATTACCACTTTTTTCTCTGTAATGCCTTACATTACTGCGTTAAAAAGCAACGCATTACAGTAATTTGTTACTTTTATAACGCGTTACTCCCATCACTGACTATGAGTGACATGAGAATGCACTATCTTACTCACTCTTTTCACAGTTTTACTTATACCAACCATCCCAATGCGGGCATGTCTCAGTTTGGAATTTTGAAAATCTAGTCACTGTAATCAAAACATTTTTACAGCTACTTTTTGTACTTTTTTATTCATTATGATAGATGTTCATAGATAATTCATACGTTTCTCATTTCTTGTGCAGATGTGTACCTCCTGACCCTGCCTGAAGACCAGAAGTTGAGCATCACTGTGGCGACAGTGGGCCAGAGTGTGGTCCTGAGCTGTGCCATCAGCGGCGAGCGCAGACCACCCATTCTGTGGAGGAGGAACCAACAGTACCTCAACTCTCTGAACCTGGAGGACATCAATGTGAGTGACACCGATGAGCTCACGGACACGACTGATGCTTTGCACTGACGTCACGCTGGGGGTGTTCTGTATGCATGTCCATTTACACAAAAAACAAAACATATAAAATGGATTTAAACCACACATTTTCAAGAGCTTGTTATGAACACGAGCCTTGTGACTGTAATTTTATGTGTGAGAGACTTGTTTTAGTGCGCAGATCATCTAACCTCTCACCAGTTGTAAATCCAATTAAATCAGCTCTTCAGATTGTGTTAAACTAAAACACAGGTTAAGTCTAACTTGATTAACAAAGCTTCTGACAGAGCAGTGCTGTCAGTTAGCTTCACACCCCCAGATAATGATGATATCAGCTGCAAAGTATCAACACCAGTAAGTTAAGTGGGTCTGTGCAGCGTGGAACATATGGCAGTAGTTTGGCATATTGGTCCACTCATCTTCTTTACAAACTTTATAACAACATTAGATTGCATGGAGAGTGGCATAATGATCGAACCTCTTAGCTACAAAGTCCCACCCTTGTATAGGTCTTTCTGTGTTGAGTTTGCCTACGCCCTGTGTCGGCGCAGTTTGAACTAAAAATAACTACCGTATTTTTCGGACTATAATGCACACTTAAAATTCTTAAATGTTCTCATAAATCGACAGTGTACCTTATAAACCCGTGTATTAATTCTGGTTGTGCTTACTGATATCGAACCGATTTTATGTGATACACGGCACTCAAAAATCTGTCAAAATGTTTTAGTAGGACTTCAGTAAACTACGAAGCCGCACTGCTTGATGGATAGTCAGAAGCCTCATGGAGTAATTCCAAGAGAAGCTGATGCAAATAAGCCAGGTGGTTTTAAGTTTATTTTCTGTAAAACATATATTGACTCCTTCTCGTAGGAAAAAAAAAAAACTTAAATGGTCCACCCACATTCACATTCATAATACGCATTCATCAAGACAGGGAGGCAACGTCGGGTGAATTACATCACGATCTGCCAATGGATCGTGGACGCCTGGGCTAAGGCATCAGTCTCAAGTGTCGTCCATTTGTTTTGCTTAACACACCTTATAATCTGGCGCGCCTTATGTATGAAAGTAGACAAGAGAATTCAACATTGATATTGCACCTTATAGTCTAAAAAATATGTTTACTTATCAAAGTAATGCATTTTAAGATCAGAATGAATGTGTACTGATAAATCTGCTGCAAGTACAAACTACTATATTCTAGATAGAATTTTTTTTGTGTGTGTGTTTTTGTCTTCAATTAGGTAAGGTTACTTTATTTGCCATTTGTACTAAAAAAACAAACAAAAAAAACACACACACATTGGAATACATGTGCAAGAAGCTTAAATTGCACCATGAAACATTAAAATCACTATATAAACAAACTATAGCATATACAACATTAAAGACGACACTGACACTGTGAAATAAACAGCTATAAAAGATTAAATAGCTAAAATATTAAGGTTAGTGTATCAAAATTTAGCAGAGGAAAAGCTGTTGGCATGTCAAAGTCATTTTCAATCTGGTTCTATAAGTCCTGTCTGCAAGAGGAGGAGTTTTAACTTGAAACAGGTTATAGGTCTATTATGGCCTACATCCTTCACCACTGTTAAATTGAAAATGTTGAAATGTTTTGATTTCAAAAGAATGTCCAAATGCCTTCTGAAACCTTTTCCACTTTGAGGGATTACACTGACAGTGGGCACAAATGTGACTTTGAGAAACATTCATATTTTACCTTCTATACACTCTACTCAGTTGGGTAGCAAAACAGAACTATAACTTGAATGATAATCACATACTTAAAGCTCAGTGAACAGATTTCAAAATGAAATCCAGATGTTTTGAAGAGGCACTTTTAGAGCTTCATCTGGTGCAAAATGCAACAAAATTTTAAATTTGCTCATGTTTTATCATCCGATAATTTATAAGGGCTTTTTACCACTAGATTAAGCAATTATCAATATAAATGACTGCCACCCATTTCTAAAAGCTTTGTTAGTTCCAGGCATAAGCTGAATATTTCAAACTAAACAATGTGAAAGTTTTTGCTAGTCTGTATTTCCAGTAAGTAGTACAAGGTTAAATTGCAAAGCATTTCTTAGAAATCAATCCTTCAGTCTTGCATCAGACTGTTTACAAGTTTATATGTATACAGTGTTGCCTGGGAAAAAAAAAAAAAAAAACATAAGCAAAGAGTACACGCTGTTTATGTACATCAAACTTTTTTTAATTTTAAATTTAAATTTTAATGTTAATATAATGTCTGCCAGAATTGACATGGTATTACTTAAAAGGGATGTACCCTATTTTGCCCCAGTATACTGTGTGCTGTTTGCAAAATGTTTTTAGGAATGTTGGTGCACCGTTAGCATGCTACAGCATCACTGTTGTTACTATCATTGCCATGACATTACAACCCTACTCCTGTTTTGAACACATTCATAAACTCATTAACACTGTTAATAGTTTGAGTTCTATGAATGTGTTAAGAAAGTGATAATTAAATCTGGGGAGCTGCAAACAGTTCAAAATAAATATGCTGACATTTTTCAGCGTCACGTTTACAACTTTTAGGCAAAAAATAGACAAGAAAAAAAAAAAGCTGTGAGCGGACTTGCATCTCATGACTCTTACTTGACCTCAAGTAGGGCCACCTTCTGCTTGTCTCTGGGCCGCTCCATGAAAATGTTTTTCCTTTAGCTGTAATATTCCACGGCATGGCATTAAACATATCTAGCTTACTGAAGAAAGCTCTGAAATATGGTTTCAACTTTCTATAACTTTCTATTTCCACTCAATCATACAGTTGAAGTTCCACCACGAGAAAGTTAAGACAGTCAAAATTAGCTTCAGCTCCTTTAAAGTGCATCCAAACAATCTCTCTTCTATCAAATTCCTTTGAAACTGCCTCAGAACACCGCGCACAGGTCTGTCGGTAATCCTGGATGTCAGTTCCTTGTCATCTGCTGTGTGTTTTGAGACTTCCGAGCGACGCTGGCACAAAGCAAACGATGAAGGCTCGAACCAAAGGGCCTGAGCCTTGGAGAAAAGACCTAGTTTCCAACCCGTGGAAAAAAAACGTGGCAGTAAAAAGCTTTTATTTAAGACCTGGACCACCTCACGTCACTTTCAAACACATCAAACTCTCTTCCTGTGAGGCCAGACGCAGCTAACATGTCCACCGCCCCCTCCCTCTCTCCTCCCTGAGCTTGGACACCGCTGTGCATAATTAAGTCAACACTGTCACAGCAGATAAAGGGAGTCCAGCGAAGCCTCTAATGTTATATTAAATGTTGATGACCCTTAAAATGAGGGAGAGGCGGCCAGCTGTCGCCACTCAGCCTTGGCAGCGCCCACTGGCTCTGGACTAAAGCCTGCTCCTCATGTCTGCCACGAACACAGTGAAGTTGGACGGACGGGTGAGGCTTTTTGTGCGTGAGGTTTGAACTTTCAGAAGGCAGTGGCAGTGCTGAGGAATGTGTGATGTGGAGTTCATTTAAGTTTTGTCCGTGCGGTATGATATAAAGATTATTCCAACCTAGATAGACATGGATAAATAAGGGACTAGATTGATCCAAAATTAGCAATGATGTAAGCGTATAGCAAGAAGCAATTCATGTTTGTATGATCTCCCTGTGTCTGCATAGTAGGGCTGCAAGATGAATCGTAATTGAATCGAAATTGCATTTTGAATGGACATAATTAGCAAATCACAAATATTGCAATTTCTGAAATAGGAAATATTGTTCTAATATCATGATCCACTCTGTATCTACTGTGACCAGACCATATGTTTATATAACAGCTTGAATTTATGGATATTTTGGCATTGCTTGAGATGTGTATCCAGACTCTTCCAGAGTTTTACACCACATATAGACACACAGAAACGTTTTACGAGTAGTTAGAACATTTTGCAATTTGAAATTTCCATACTCTTTAAAATGATAAGTTCTCTCTCTCATTTTGAAATTGTTGCATACTCTAAATAAAATGACCAGTGTATAATATTTTACAAGGTCAGGAATCTTTAGGAGCTTGGATTGAATAAAAAGATAATGCGTGTGTTCTAAAAATCAAACTTTATGGATAATTCGCAAAGCTCGTTTCTGTAATATAACGAATGAAGTGGACATTGGTAAGTGTTCCCCCACACTTCAACACAGTATGTGAAAGAAGGGAGAACCAATGAACAGTATAGTACGAAGGCATTTTGATCAAGGTAATATTTACACTTTGTTACATTTTCAATTTGGACACCTTCAATTATAATTGGTAACTCTGTGTTAATCTTGTGATTGCCAAACATCATTGCCTTGGTCTTATTTAAGTTTAATGACAATTTATTAATATCTATCCACTTTTTTAAAAAATTAGTTTAGCTCCTCATTTGGAGTACTTATGAATTCATAATAATTGTGACTGCTATAAAATATGTTGGAGTCATCTGCAAAGAGTGTAAGTTTTAGTGGCTGAGATACAGTACATGTATCATTTATGTATATATTGAACAGTTTTGGTCCCAAAACAGATACCACAAGCAGTGCCAAGTTTTTTTTTTTGTTTTGTTTTGTTTTTTATATTTTCCCATTTGAACATATTGCACCCTTTCTGTAAGATAACTTTTCAACCAGTTCCATTTCAAGTATAAACAAGTATTAACATAATACCATATTGTTCAAGTTTATGTAGTAATATTGAGTGATTGATAGTATCAAAGGCTTTATTAAGGACTTAGACAAACTTTATTGATCCATAAGGGAAATAATTTGGACAATTAAATAAGCAGCAAAAATAACAAAAATAACAAGAGACTGGTGTCAAATACTGCATAATTCTATAAATATATGTACAAGTAAAAATACAAAAACTAAATAAAATTAAATAAATTACTATACCTAAATACTAAAATACCGTAGTAATACAAATTTATCTCACAAATATATCTCACAGGTTTACTTACAGGTGAGTTTTTGTACAGTTGTATGGAG